ACAATGATGTTTTTATGAATAATATATGAATTATGTTTTTATAAAATGCGAAAAACTGATTTGGAAGTTTACGTTGTTACAAAAATAAAATATTGAAATCAAAAATCAAATTCTAATCGCTATCCCCAACAAGAAACATCAACACCACAATCAGTAATAGCCCTCCAAGCACATAATATATCGTCATCGCATGACCTGCCTCTCGTCTAGCAGTACTAGCAGTGAAAGTAGCCTCCATCAAATGTTGAAACAGGATTTCCATCCCTGTCATCACTTCGTTCAATACCTCCTGATGCCCGACTATCACAGCGAGGCTGTCACGTAGGTCCGCTGCCATCGAATGCATCCTCCGGGACTTCTCCGGGGTCATACCTGGCTGCCTGACAGGTATCCCTATGACTCGCTGTGGTGGGGGTGCTCTCGGTCCTGCAATGCTGGGTCCTACCCCGCTAGGTCCTACCGTGCCAAGTCCTGCTGTGTTGGTGGCTATCCTTTCTGGAATGGGAACACTCTTCCTCGCCGTCCTCTGAATGCAAAGCCCATAAAGTGGTGGCTGTGGCAACACCGATGCAAGTGATGCCTCGCATCGTTGACTCGGGGCGTTGTCATTGTTGATCTCCACCGAGTTTCCTGTATCTTCCGTGTCCTCCGATGGGTCTTCTTCTACTGAGGCGTGGGGATTACGTCGAGGGATAATAGTGACGTAGCCGGACTCATCGGCTGAGGCGGTAGCGCAGGAAGATAACGATGTTGATATAGTGGACTGAGACATAGTTTCAATGAGATATGAAATAAATGACAATGCATACCTATAATATGCAATGCTTAAACACACCAAAATTAACCTTTTGAATTTTTGAAATAAAGTTTTCTCAAATATTTTTTTTGAACATATTCCCATTATAATTAGCTCAGCCTTTGTATAAATCTTCCCTTAATTAAACATAGGTGATCAGGCTATGTTTAATTGAGGTCCAACGATACAACTCCCGACCTAATTATACTAGTAATATGTTTGATGTAAAAAGAATTTCTTTATAAGTTTAGGTTATAGGTTGTGTTTTCTTAAAGAAAAACTGATGTTCTCTATAACTTTAGCTCTGATACCACTTCTGTCACACCCCGCTAAAGCGGAAACACAAGATATGACAGCGATAACGGTTTCATTGCAAAAGATAAAGATACATCACCATAGAAATATTCAAAAGTTTACAACCCATAGCTTAAAAGAAACAAGTACAAGTTTTTCCAAAACAACATTGTTCAAAATATAACCTCATAAATAACTTCAACACGATGCAGTATGCTCTATGATGATGAATCTTTATATCCACTTACTAATTATTTCCTGAAAAAGCATGTAAAACGAGCGTCAACTATGATAATAGTTGGTGAGTTCACAAGTTTATAAAATCGATCTTGAAATAAGGCTTTTCGTAAATACAAGTACATTGCTTTAATGAGAAACAAAGTTGATTGCTATAATTGATACAAGTTTATTGCTATAACGAGAAACGAGTTTGTATGTGTATGAGCAAACAATGAGTCTCAACCAAACCTATGACTGAAGCCCAATCAAGATTTATGCTTATCGTTCCATAGATGAATATGGTATCATGCACTCCAGCAATAGGGCGAGTGAGGAGTTGTCAATTCTTAATAGCGTTATCCATAATGACCATTGGCTCAAAGAGTTAATGGTTAGAGATAAGGGAAGGGCCTTAGTACGATAAGTTCTCATGTTTCGTGTTGCATAGACATACATAGAGAGACATAGCAATACAATAGCAATCATGTTTGATACAAATCAATTTAAATACAACATGCAAATAATAGTTTTTCTGGACATGCTTTTCCACCCCCCCAAAACATAAAACTAAAAATAGGGGAGTGCATGAATACTCACAATGTTTCGAGTAGATACAAGTGGTGCCTCGGAATACACCAACGTCTTAATATCGGGATCCTATGACATCAAACACACACTAGTGAGTTTCCATGTCGAAATCTAATGCTAATATACTAAACTCTACATATAGTGAAATGCCAATTTATGTTCTAATATTGAATATTATATTAATTGGTTACACTTTTTCTGAAATGATGAAATTCTACAAGTTATGCGATTAATACAACTTTGGACTATTAATTTTTTCAGATTTAGTAATATAAATTTAAGGGTGTTTCAACACATTTAAACGTGTTTTAAATTCCTAAAAATGTAAAATATTATCAAATAGTTTCCAAAAATTGTCAAACGTTGTATTTTTCATTCTAAATACAATAGAGGTTTTCCAGAAAATTTTCCTTGAATTTTTGATATGGTTAACTATTTTCCAAATTTTTAAGCCTTCATAACAACATAAATTCACGAAAAATAGCATTCAAAAGATAAAAATTCTCAAACTTTTTATTTTACTTTTATTACACATTAATAAGCTGAGAAAAATATAAAAATAGATTTTCAATCTGTTTAATTATATTTCATGATTTTTGAGCATTTATTCGAATAAAAATTGGAATAAATATAAAACAGTTTCCAAAATTACCCAAGCTTTTTATTTAATTGTTATAATACATAACTAGGCTGGGAAAAATATAAAAAAATATTTTTCAGTGGGTATTTCTATTTTTCCTTGTTTTATCCCCTTAAATAATCATTAATTGAAGAATAAATAATAAACAGTTAAAACAAATTATCAAAAAATTTTGTAACATCATTTACAGTGTAAGTAATCTAGGAAAAATACCAAAAGTCGTTTTCATATTGTATAATCCGGTTTTGGGTATTTATGTGTATTTAAGTGTATTTAAGTGTATTTAACCTTAGAAAATAGGAGAAAAATAGTTTACATTAGAGAAAAATCATCCAAAATTTTTATGTAACCTCCTACTGTACAACATGATATTCTGGTAAATTTTCATGAATTTTGGATAATCAAAACTATTTTTCCTATTTTTAGGCCATTATAATTACCAAAATTTGGGAAAAATAGGAAGGCACGATGAAAACTTCTGAAATTATTTTTATGAGTCTCTCACCACAGGTAAGGGCTGCGAATATTGTTAGATACAATTTTTCACACTCTCTAAGGTGGTTTTGTGATTTATTGTACCCAAACAAAAAGAAAATCGAAAATCATACCAAACAGCAACATAAATCGATGAAATTTAATGAGAGGTCATTATTCACCATAGGGGTCATCTAGGAATTTATTCCGTATTTATAGATCTCAGGAAGTATTTTATGTGATTTATGACCTTGTTTTCTTGTAATAATTTTAATAAATCAAATAAGTGATAAAAACTCTTGAAATTTTCCAGATGTTCATATTACCTTAATAGGAATCTGGAAAAGTTTTTATTTGAATAGAAAAGAACTTTTACATATTTTTATAGACAAAATCGTTTACATGCACTATTAACAATGTACTTTGCCCATCAAGCTCTTTAGCTTGATGTTCATTACATGCATCACGGTTTGAGGACCGTGCATGGACATATGTTTGTCATAGTGATGTTTTTTAAAGAAATACTTGAAAGCGTAAGGTGTTTGAACCTTTAAAACTTGTAAAAATCCAAACTTTAGTGTTTGACATAGGTTTTAGTCCTTGGATTTCACCATTAAACAACATGCATGTTGTTCTTGGGTGAAACCCTACCACCATCATCATCAAACTTGACATTCATGAACATGTTCATGAATGTTCATAAAGAATGGTGTAGAAGGAAGAGAAGTACAAGAAAACCCTTTAAAACAAGAAGGAAAAGTACGGAAAGGTGAAGGATTTTCGTGTATACCTTGAAGATTAACCTTAGAAGATGAAGATTTGAGTGTGGAGAGGTGTTCTTGACTGAATATTTTCATGGGTTTAGAGAGAGAGGAAGAGAGTTTGAGAGTTGAAAGGGTGGAGTGTAACAGAGAATGAAGAGAGAAGTGGAAGAGTGGAGATTGTTTTTAATGATTGATGTTTTAGGAAGAGAGATGGCATGGGGAGAGGGGATGGCTGGATTTTTGAGTCCCTTAAAGCCTTCTCTCTCCTCAATTCAAATTTTATACAATTCCCTCCTTAATTTTTATAAAACCCTTATTTTTATAAAAGTGTTTATTAAGCAATTCTTGATTTATTTAAAAATCTTGTTTTTAATTAATAAATTATGCTTAATGTTTGATAATTTAAATTTTTATTTCATTGATTATAATCCATAATTTGATTAATAAAAATTTGATATTAGGAAGCTTATAGCCAATTATATAAAGTTTTTAAGCTTTAAGGTTTATAAATTTGGATTTTTGGCTCTTTAGGGTTTTTGGAACATTGTTTGATATTCACCATCATAATGGAATGTAATTAGAATATTTTAATTTATTTTTAGGGTTTTATACCCTTTTTCAATTGTAACAAAGTTTGAAGTTTCATTCTAATCATGGTATTGGCATTTCCTATTGTAGTTAAGCAACTTACTAGAATCGTAAGAGTCAAGTATATTAGTCCTAGATCTTAGTTGGATCCTAGTTTATGCAAGATTTTGACCTAATTTATACTACTAGGCCATGGCCTGTTGTGCATGAATGGTTTTTACAAAGATGCATGAGTCCGAGAATGACCTGAATTGACAATTGTCACAGAGTTGTCAAGACTGTTCCCACAATTTTCGTTCCATCACCACTTATCTTCCTAGATGCTCCTTCGCCTTTACTTACTCCATCCACCTTTCTTTCTCCCCCTTACACCCCTGTAACAACAAGTGGGGCATCTGTTGGAAGTAAGTTCATCAATTTTGAAAGCAGAGCCAATTCATAATGAATTGTGGACTCAAGAAGACGAATCTTTTGAGTTCAAAACTCAAGAGTGAATAAAGAAGAAGAACTTTAGGTCGACACCATGGTCTTTAATTCACCTAGCAACACATCAATAATTCCAAAACAAAAATCATTTCCAACTCAGCTTGTGCATCCATCTTAGGAAGCATATAATTATAAGATTGAGCTATTTTGGTTACAGCCCCAGCAATATATCCACCTTTTCGAGAATTAAAGAATAGCTATTGGTCACTTCCTTCAATTCCTTTTCCATGTCTGGTCTTAACTCTTCAAGCTCTTGATTAACATCTTCTCGAACAGGTTTGACATCCCGAACAAAAAAAACATGTCGTTGTTTGGAAATTGTTTTCAATTCCTTAAGTGCATCATTGAATGTCTCATATTGATTTTTGACCCTTAATTCGCTAATTTCGTCAGACTGGTCAATCATGTTGAGAAGACGAAGCTCTTGAGCTTTCAACATAACATCCATTTCAATACCAGAAACTGAATGGTTGTCTCCTACATCAGCTTGAATTTGTAGTAGAGAATTGAGCTTAAGATTTAAAATCTTGAATGGCTTCCTATACATGAGCATGTTGTCGGGAATATTCTCTTCCTCCAGATCAAACTCGATGTCATCAAAAGAACCAACAAACCCACCATCATCAAAAATTGTTTCGGGTTCTTCAGAAGATTGTGATGGGAATATGGAAGTAATGGGTTGTTTCATAATTGTATCGAAAGTAGGAGAACGAGTAGAAGAATGAATATGAGATGTGTTTGGAACGAGGAATTGTGACAACCCGAAATTTCCATTCTGTACAAACTATATCACTTCAATAGAAGTTATAGCAGTCACAGTTGATTTTCAAACTTTTCGTGTAAGTTTGAGTAATTCAGGGTTTACACTTCAGGAAATATCAGGAGAGTGGGTGCACTAGGGTTTTGTGCAACACTGTTATTCCAACACTCTATTACATTAGAGTTCATTTCAAGAATAAAAATATTTTCTGCCAAAATATCTCAGGACTATAAATAGAATTCTGAACTAAATTCATCCATTATTCACATTTCCAACTAGAGAAAAGCCATTTTCTCTCTCACGGATATTCGGGTTTTTATACCAAAACGTGAGTAACTCTTTCTAGTAGTGTTAGAAAGCTTATATTGTGCTTATAACATGATTTAGATGGCTAATTCATTAGATCTAGGAGTTTACTCCCGAAGGTGTTCTTGGGCGGTAAACTCCCGAAACCGAGCCTAGCTTGTTCCTTGTGTTGTACAACTACCTTAGACTCATATGTATGTGTGTTAGGGACAAGAAAACAACCATAAATCACCCAAGTTTGGGAGTTCACGGCCCAAGAGTTGCTTAGGCCTTAAACTCCCTTTTCAAACTCATAATGGTGTTTTAAGGCCTCTAAAGCTTTAAGACTTTTATCTAGACTAGTTCCCATTTAGTGTAAGGCCTTAAGCACATCAATGAACACAAACAAATGAGAGTTTACGGCCCAAGTGTATCTTAGGCCGTAAACTCCATAGAAATGGACAAAAGGGTGTTTTCAAGACACCTAAAGCCCTAAACCTTTACAAGGAATTGTTTCCACTTAATTGAAGCACCAAAACTCATCCAAATCACTTATCAAAGTGAGTTTACGGCCAAGAGAATGCTCTTGGGCCGTAAACATGAAAGAATGGCACCAAAGTGTGCCTAGGGTCCTCATTTTCCTTAAACAATTGTCTAGAACACATCCTTCAAAAGCAATAGGCTTGAAAACAACAAAAACACCCTATACTTAGAGTTTACGGCCGTAAACTCTAATGGGAATGGCCTTAGGGCCGTAAACTCCTATTTGGAGTATTTCTAGACCTTAAACCCTTCCAAGGACTTAACCACCAAGTTGCAATAATTCTAGGAACCATTTGGGACTTCAAAACACACCATACCCCCATGGTTGGGAGTTCACGGCCGTAAACTCAATAGTTTACAACCGTAAACTCCATGTGTGATGTTCTATGGGGAGTAAACTCACGTATAGGGTCCTTTGGAACCCTAAACACAATTGCCTTGTCCCACAATAGCTTATATGCAATCCTTAGGGCTTAAAACACTTATATAAAGTGTTTATTATGTCTAGGATGTCTTAACATTATCAATTAGTGATTTGAGACTAATTGAGTGCATATATGTGTGGATTATATGTTCATTAGGATCGTAGTGTGTGTGCAAGTCCTCGCTTGACACCTAACAATCCTATACCGTTCAGTTCATCCCAATCACCAACTACAGGTGAGTTCATACCCTAATAAATGTTTTAAATGATTTTAAATGCTTTAATGGGGGGAATACAAGTAGAAACAAACATGTTATTAAATCATTTATATGTATTTTATAACTGTGTTTGTCATTTAACAGATTTCACATACTACCAAATGTGATGCATGAAATGGTTTTTAAATCTTAAAAACACACTGTTATCAAATGTTTTACCTTTGAAATGTATATTAAAAATGACATCAAGTCATTGTTAGTTATTTTTCAAAACCCATAAGATGTCTTACAAAACCATTTTTCATTCTTGAACAAAACTATGCATGTACCCTTATCTTCTTATATATGTATTCATGTGATAGTTTACAACTTTCAGTTAGTTTCCCCCACTCTTGAGTTTCAAGAGTGTATAAACTTACTTGTACAATCAATTACCTTTAAATTTACTATCAAAGGGATAGTTAGAGGATAACAAAACATTATTCCTATTACAAGGAATCACACAAGAGTCAGTTCATTCATGAGTCTTTACTAGTACCCTACCTGATACATGAGTACCTTTACATATGCTTACCTGATACGTGAACACATTACATAAGTACCTTTACATTGATACCTTTACCTGTGTATACTTATTTGAATAATTTTATCACGAATTGTGAGGATAACTTATTAGTACCTTTTGTGTAAATTTTCCTGCCTATCCCCAGTACCTTGGGATATCTAGAACAGGACCCTATCCCCAGTACCTCGGGATATATGGACGGGACTAATGTCACACCCCGCTAAAGCGGAAACGCAAGGTATGACAGCGATAACGGTTTCAATGCAAAAGATAAAGATACATCACCATCGCAGTATTTAAAAGTTTACAACCCATAGCTTCAAAAGAAACAAAATACAAGTTTTTCAAAATAACATTGTTCAAAATATAGCTTCATAATAGCTTCAACACGATGCAGCATGCTCTATGATGATGAATCTTTACATCCACTTACTAATTACTTCCTGAAAAAGCATGTAAAACGAGCGTCAACTATGAAAATAGTTGGTGAGTATCACAAGTTTATAAAAATCGAGCGTACAATAAGGCTTTTCGTAAATACAAGTACATTGCTTCAATGATAAACAAGTTGATTGCTATTAATGAATACAAGTTTATTGCTATAACGAGAAACGAGTTTGTATGTGTATGAGCAAACAATGAGTCTCAACCAAACCTATGACTGAAGCCCTATCGAGATCTATGCTTATCGTTCCATAGATGAATATGGTATCATGCACTCCAGCGATTCGGGCGAGTGAGGAGTTGTCAATTCCTAATAGCGCTATCCATAACGACCATTGGCTCAAAGAGTTAATGGTTAGAGATAAGGGAAGGGCCTTAGTACGATAAGTTCTCATGTTCCGTGTTGCATAGACATACATAAAGAAACATAGCAATACAATAGCAATCATGTTTGATACAATTCAATTTAAATACAACATGCAAACAGTAGTTTTTCTGGACATGCTTTTCCACCCCAAAACATAAAAACCGAAAATAGGGGAGTGCGTGAATACTCACGATGTTTTGTGTAGACACAAGCGGTACTTCGGGATGCACCAACGTCTTACTACCGGGATCCTACGACATCAAACACACGCACTAGTGAGTTTCCATGTCGATATCTAATGCTAATATACTAAACTCTACATATAGGGAAATGCCAATTTATGTTTTAGTATTGGATTTTATATCAATTAGTTACACTTTTTCTGAAGTAATGAAATTCTATATATCGGGCGATTAATTACAACCTTGGAATATAAACTTTCCAAATTTTTAAGTCCTTATTACAACATAAATTCACGAAAATAGCATTCGAGGGATAAAAATTCTCAAACTTTTTATTTAACTGTTATTACACAATACTAAGCTGGGAAAATTATAAAAATGGATTTCCAAGCTGTTTAATTATATTTTATGATTTTTGAGCATTTATTTCAATAAAAATTGAAATAAATAGAAAACAGTTTCCAAAATTACCCAAACTTTTTATTTAATTGTTATTATACATAAATAGGCTGGGAAAAATATAAAAGATATTTTTCAGTGGGTATTTCTATTTTTCCTTGCTTTATTCCTTTAAATAGTCATTAATTAAAGAAATAATATTAAACAGTTAAAATAAATCACCATAAATTTTTGTAACATCATTTACAGTATAAATATCCTGGGAAAAATATCAAAAGTGGTTTTCATAATGTATAAACTGGTTTTGGGTATTTATGTATATTTAAGTGTATTTTAGTGCAATTAACTTTAGAAAATAAGAGAAAAATAGTTTACAGTAGAGAAAAATATTCAAAATTTTTATGTAACCTCCTACTCTATAATATTATATCCTGGTAAATTTTCATGAATTTTGGATAATCAGAACTATTTCTCCCATTTTTAGACCATTATAATTACCAAAAATTGGGAAAAATAGTAAAACATGATGGAAAATCTTGAAATTATTTTCTGGAGTCACCCATCACAGGTAAGGTATGCGAAAATTGTTAGATACAATTTTCACATCCTATAAAGTGGTTTTGTAATTTATCATGTCCTAAATAAAAGAAAATTAGAAATCATATGAAACAGTAACAAAAATTGCTGAAATTTGGTGAGGGGTCATTATTCCCCATAAGGATCATCCATGAATTTATTTAGGATTTATTGACCTCTGGAAGTATTTTATATGATTTATGCCCTTGGTTTTAGCAATAATTCTAATAAATCAAAGAAATAACAAAAGCTCTTGAAATTTTCCAGATTATCTCATGCATGCAAGGGCTTTCAAAAGGAAAAATGTAAAAAAATGTATTCAGAAGAGAAATGAGGGTAATGATTCCAAACAATTTAAGAAAAGTTGCATGCAATAATGCATGAAGTGTAAATGTGGCTGAAGTTCATGAATTTGTGTAGCCCATTCAGTGAGGTTTTAAGCCACGAAATTTCAACCATAATTCACTAGATATGTTAAGTTTCTAAGGTATTTTTCCTCAGATTTATGGTTGGGTTTAAGGCCATTGTTTAAGCAAGATAAAAATAGTGATCACAGAAAAAGAGCTGTATGCGCAACCTTTTTGTAAAATCTGCTAAAAATCGGATATTTAATATTTTACAGTGAGACCAGTTGGGTTTGAAAGTTAACTCGTGGAACTAACCAATACAAAAAGAATATCATGATTTGGTTAAGAAATGACTGAGTTATGACTGTTCAAAGTCGAACAAAGTAATCTGGCAGATTGCATGTTTGCTTGTGTGCATTATTAGGGTATTTCAACAAGAACATCATGCATGTCTTTGGTAAGGCCCGATTTCTAACACATGCATGGAATGAATGAGCATCCAAGATGTACTAGAAATGGTTTAAATGCTTTTGTTCATGCATGAACACAAAAGAAATGGAGAAGAACATGAAATATTA